TGTCTTTGTCAAATGTCATTTCCCATGTTAATTGATTTGTGAAATCCTACTATAGATTGTTGAGACTTGAGAGTATCGTTTGGACACACATCGAGAACGAATAGAGCAAATTTGGTCTTTAGCTCTCGAGCCTACTCAAATGTTACGCCAAAGGCCCATAATTAATTGCTTGGACCCATAACAGTACTGAACATGATATGATAATTCACACGAAATATTAAAGAGTAAAGATCATATTACCATATTATTATTATTATTATTATTATTTGATCACCATTCTTTTTATTACGCAAATTATTTGATTACCATATGGTTGAAGGTGACACGTTTACTAAGTTAGAGGGAGCCAGACAACCAGCATTTCATTGGTGGAGATGCTAGTAAATGGACTATAGTACTACTACTAAATTAGTAATATTCTTCCATCTATCATCAAATATTGATAGCAACATGCATATATGTATAAAGCAAACTCAAGAATACTTTATATCACACTTTATTTTAAAATAAAAAGAAATATTATACTATATTTGTCTAATTGTTTCTGAAAATTGTTAACACTTTGACTTTTGCACAATTCGCAGACTTTATTTTGACCATTATTTTATGTTATATTTAAGTATTTTCATAGGGAATTTCCCTCTTATTACATATATTCAGAATATCAGTATAAAATAATAATACTGTAAGAACTTTTAGAAACGGATTTAATGTTTTTGGTGTTATTATGGGGAAATGCTACATGTAAAGCAAACCATGGGACCATTTGGAGAGCTGGTTAGTGGTTAATTTGTTAATATTCTAATTATGATTTATCATTATCATTATTCATTAACTGACCCAAGAGCGTCTTCAATTTTTTTCGGTTTTGGAAGTTATTGGTAGTTAAGTAAAAGCTATAAAGAAGAGACATATAACAAATACAAGAGGCTGCTAATACAAAAGGGCAAGTTAAGCTATCATTATGAGCTCTTATCTTTGGAATACAATATGATTATGGTGTGACATTTCCACTTAAATCTTCATCAATCACATCCTAAAATAATGACATATTTGGTGTACGTGGTTAACGTGTTTGTATATTTCTGTAAGAGACTAATTTAGTAATTTTATTCTATCAATTGTATTATTTACTTTGTATTTTATTAGTTGACACATTTTTCTAGACACTTTCACGATGCACTTGTTAATTACTAGCTAGTATCTTTAATAAGCAGGTAAAAGTGAAAATCATAAAACTTAATGCGAAGTTATTAATTGAGACAAATCTATTTAGATCGCACATAAATATAATTTTCAATACTTATAAATCACAAAAGCAGATCAAAACACAAGTATATATATATGAAAAATGATAAAGTCAAAACATCACAACTAATAAATAAAGATCGATGAAACACAAAAGTATTATTCAGTACAGAGTAATTTGTTAATGTATAACACGTCTATATTACGGACTACACCGTAGTGTACTTAACTAACTTAAATATAAGTAGACAAGGTAGTTAAGGACATGTAGTTGAGTGTGAAAATTTGCATCTAATAACAGCAGACCTAATTATCTGGGCCTCCAAATTCTGTTACGGTACTCTCCAAGAAAGGCTCATGATAATACCCAAAATAGCAGGCCTATTTCTCTGGGCCTCCGAATTTTTCATCATTATAAACAAGCAAAGCTCATATAATTTCCAAACTGGCCCATTGAGCATCATCTTGACACAACCCAAAAACGTAGCGAGTTCGGTTTATCACATGGACCGCCAGGCCTTTTTATTTGACACTTCATTCGTCTTTATTTTTTTCTATAATCTTTATACGAGTAAAGAAATGTCAAAATAGAAAGGAATAAAAACAATAATAATAAGGAAAAATTGACAAAAATAATCCTTACTTTCGCCGGTTCGTTCAAAATAATCCCAACTTTGGGGGTCATTCGCTCAAACTGATCGCAACCGATCACTTAACCTGTTATAACATGTTAATGTGACACGTGTTGCTATTTAATTGGCTGATAATAAAATAAAAAAAAAAACAAAAAAAAATCTAGTTGTCGGACCACAACCACCTTCTCCAACACTTAGCCATGACCTGATGACCCCCTCCTGGAACCCCATCCCCACCGGCGCCTAAACATTCCTCCCTTACATAGGCACCGATGACGCCCCTCCCCTGAACCATCAAAGACCAAACCACCCAAAAATCGCAACCTGAAATCCCAAAAAAAACCCTCCCCCACCGCATTAAACCCCTAAATCGGCCTTCTCCCACCCTCGAAACCCTTCGCAAGGGTTTCGAGGGTGGGAGAGGACCGATTTGGGGGTTTAATGCGGTGGGGGAGGATTTTTTTGGAGGTTTTGGGTTGCCATATGGGTGTTTTGGGTGGTGGTTTATTCGGTTAGGGTAAGGAGTGTGTCGGCACCAAGGAGGAATGCCTGGGTGTCGGCAGGGTTAGGGGCGGGCGGGGTTGGGGGTTGCAAGGCGATTTCGTGGTGGTTTGTGGGCTGGTAGGTGCTGGTCGCGGCAGAGTGCTGGTTTCGTAGTGGTGTGTGGAATTTATAGAAATGATTGTTGTGGTGTGATGTGGTGTGGCTCAATGGTTGGCGTACAGGTTCGACTGTTCAGGGGGTAGGGGAGTGCGCCGGCGGTGATGGGGGGTTCCGAAAGGGGGTCGTGGCTGTCTGGCGGTGGAGAGGGTGGTCGTGGGTGGGGCTAGGTTTGTTTTTTAATTTTTTAAAGTTATTTTTTTTTATTTATTTATTTATTTTTTTTTTAAATTTTTAAGCTTTTCTTTCTTTATTTTTTTTTTAAAGTTTTTTTTCTTTATTTATTTTTTCAACCTATAATGTGCTGATACGTGTCACTCAAAATTGAAAAAAAAAAAACCACTTTAACAAGTAACCGATCACTTGGGATCATTTTGAGCGAATGACCCGGCCATAGCTTGCATTTGGCTTCAATTATTCTGACAGTGATATTCCTATTTACTGCAGTACTGGGCCAGGAGAGTGGGCCTAATGGGCTGGCCGACAGTCCATAATTCCAACTTCATATAGAACAAATGGATTGAGCCAAATTGGTCCTAAAAACGTTGTTTGATTGGTCCAAAACTTGCCACGAGTCCGTCCAAAAGCTCCAATTTGACTCTTTACTGTTCTACCATTTCTATAGATTCCTTCTTTTTTTTGATGTGATTCTAATAATTTCATCATTTTCATAATCTAAAAATGTGTGATCCCTATTTTTCTACTCTTTGATCGTACAGAAGAATATGTGAAGACTATATATGCTATATATGAAAAATTCAAATTTTATAAGAAATTACTTCACACTACATTATGCTACGAGTATTAGATATAACGATTTTTTATCCATCAAATATTATGTTTTGAAGAACTTTTGTGAATTTTGATGTAAAGTGTAACCGGAATAATAAGCTATTTAATGTGTAAGATATATGAAGGAGAATTAACTTAAATTTTAAATTATTTTAAAGCTATAAGCTTGTGAAAAACATTCAAATGAAAAGAGTCCTTATCTCCATCATCTTTTCATAATTCACTTCTTTTTTTAATTCACGAAAAAGAAATATATACAAAGTATATAAATTGATGTTTAGCAGATCGATTTGTCCTACGTATTAAAATTTCCAAGAAGGAAATATGAGACAAATAATCTAAGTCAATAAATATAGCTGTAGGCCAATCATTTAATATTTTTTCTATATCCATTCATGAAAAATAATCCAAGCAAAAATACGCTTCTTATTAATCCCTACCTTTTAAAAAGTATGAGAAAACACTTATAAATAGTGTGAGGACAATTTTATCCCTTACGAATAGTGTTATCTCTAAAATATTTGTTTACCTATATGCCTCTATTCATATGATGTTAATTGTTTCAAAGCTTAACCTTGTGTGATTTAATGATAATACTCTTATAAATAGTGATTGGACAATTATACGCTCTAAAATGTTTATTTACTTATTTGCCCTCATAAATGTAAATTTTTTTTGTTGAAGTTTTAAAGATAGTGTTCGAACATTTATATCCCTAAAAAAATTTGTTTACATATTTTCCCTCATTAACATCATCAATAACTGAAATTGCTCTCCAGCCTTGGCTAGATATGGCGCGCGCATTAGCCACCCTAGTTGTATCAAAATTTGCATGTTGTAGTATTAATACTAATAATAACATTTCTCTCAAGTTCTAAAACAATTTGAAAGGTCTCCTTTATCATTTTCACTCTAAATATAGCTATAGGCCAATCATTTTATATTTTTTCTATATCCATTCATGAAAAATTAATCCAAGCAAAAATACACTTCTTACAAATTGTATTAAAATTTGCGTGTTGAAGTTTTAACTAATACTAATAATTATTTACTCTCAAGTTCTAAAGCAATTTGATAGGTTTCCTACATTTTCACTCTAAATTTAAGAGAATTATAACTTTTGCTTGAATGTCATTCTCGATTATTAAGCTGTATGTATATTTCCTCATTTGAAAGAACACCACACTTATTCCACAATCTGCAATACGATTCATTTCCATCATGTTACCTGGACTCATAGCTATCTATCTCACGTGTCATTTTTTTACCCTCACAAATCACAATATCAAAGTAAAACGTCCCGTTAAAAATACTCAGTACATGAATTATAGTTTTAAATACACATATTGTTAAATTAGATTTGTTGTAATAATACATAAAAAAAAAAGGCGTTAAGTATTATCTTTCCATATTGGTTTATCAATCAATATATTATAGGTTACGTTAAATAATGACATGTTAAAGATTTATACTCTACATAATTATTTTAGATAGTACAAACCATAATTGGAATATGGAAATGAATAATAATGGTAGGGGATAAAGATGAATAAGAGGTGAATAGGAAAAGTAACATACTAATTTCATGACTAATATTAGAAAATAATAATTACACCAAATGGGAAACTATCAATCAAGTAGCTAATAGTCTAATAAAGTACTACTCAATACATTTGGTTTAATAAAAAAACAAAAAAAAAGGTACTACTCAATACATACTACGAGTAGCTAGAGGAAACATACGGGTCCTCATAATGGGTTGCAATTAGCTGGATGGAAAATGAAGGCCCTTTAATTAAATCGGGCCGACCGGGTCAAATCACTATAACTCAAGTATTTTTTAACCTGTAATACAAATGTACATGTATATATAAAGCCCTACAATTCCCCTTTTCTTAATCATCCAACACTCTATTTCTCCCCTTTCTAACACATAAGATTACACTACATTGCTTGTTATGTCATAGTGGAAACTATATATTATACGAAGTACGGAGTATTATTTTTATGTTACGAAGACCACACCATGAACTTCCTTAGAAATATGCTTGTTTTTCTTTACGTTTATGTATTGTTGTTACTTTCTCTTTCGGTCTCAGCTAAACCAGCAACATTTCAGCAAGATTTTAAGGTCACTTGGGCTGACACTCATATTAGGCCTGTTGAAGGAGGAAGAGCAATTCAACTTAAGCTTGACCAATCTTCAGGTATGTAATAATTAATACAACTAATACACATTTTAATTCCAAATCTCTTATTATTAATCTTAATGTATGTAATTTTATTGTAACTAAAACTTTAATACACCACTATATCTACTGGTTTTGTTTAAAAACATACATGTTAATGTTTTCATAAATTTGAGCATGATGTAGGATGCGGATTCGCCTCGAAGTATAAGTATCTATATGGACGTGTGAGCATGAAAATCAAGCTTGTTCCAGGAGATTCAGCTGGAACTGTTACTGCATTTTATGTGAGTTTATAATCGAAGAAAAGTTTAATGAAGCAAGAAAGAAATTAATAAATGTATTTTGTCTCTTAATTAATAGGCTTAATTTATTTAGTTTATTCCTAAAGAGTTTTATTATTAGGATGTGATGTGTGTATGTGACATATATAGAATAATATAGCTATATACTTGTACTGTTGTACAACTCATGTTGAGACAAAAAAATAAAACCTTATTAAGTTGCTAATTAGGGAAATAAAATGTGATTATTTCATGCAGATGAATTCAGACACAGACACTATACGTGATGAATTGGATTTTGAGTTCTTGGGAAATAGGACGGGCCAACCTTATACGGTCCAAACAAATGTTTTTGCTCATGGAAAGGGAGACAGGGAGCAAAGAGTTAACCTTTGGTTCGATCCTTCCGCAGATTATCACACATATACCATTCTTTGGAACCACAAACACACTGTGTAAGTCATTAAAAATACACCGTTTATCCACTCTTAATAATGTGTGTGACATTCTTGGTTCATGCAGCTGACCCCAATTTTTTGAAAACAAGGCTTTGTTTTGGTTGTTGTATTCATTTATAATGTGGTGTATATTGTCGTTTTAATTTGTACATTGTTGAATTTGTACTTGTGTAGATTTTATGTGGATGAAGTTCCAATAAGAGTGTACAAGAATAATGAAGCAAAAGGAATCCCATATCCTAAGTCACAACCAATGGGAGTGTTTTCCACTCTATGGGAAGCTGATGATTGGGCGACACGAGGTGGATTGGAAAAAATTGATTGGAGCAAAGCCCCATTCTATGCTTACTATAGGGACTTTGAAATTGATGGTTGTCCTGTGCCAGGACCAATGACTTGTGCCTCAAATCTTCGTAACTGGTGGGAAGGTGCAGCTTATCAAGAGCTAACCCCTATGCAAGCACGATTGTATCGTTGGGTTCGCCAAAACCACATGGTTTACGACTATTGCAATGACAAATCGCGTTTCCCTGTTCCTCCCCCGGAGTGTTCGGCTGGAATTTATTAATCAGAATGCATATGTAAATCGCAAAAATAGTGATTTTCACATCTCAAAGTTTGAATACTCTCTTATAAGAGAGACGTTTAGGTACCACATATTTGTATTCAATTTATGTTCGTACTACGTATCGTGTAGTACATGGAAAAATATGCGAGATATCGATTGTATACTTATGTGTAAGCAAATTACTGTGGAGTAATGAATATGATTTTATTATTCAAATTGATGTCCAATCGTGTGAAAATTTATTTATGTGAAAGGACAAATAGTGTAACTTCAAGTATCATTGTCTATTGAATTACAAGGTCTACATGCAACGAATTTAGCCCATGCAATTTATCAAGAGTAGTACTTGAATATCAAATTCAAAACATTATTTTGAGGGGTCGATACTCGATAGTCATAGTACCATATAATTGGGTACCACACTACCACTTAAATAGTTAATGTATGTTCATACTTTACCCCCACCAAACTGACCAAAGCTTGCTGTATATTTTTTTCACCAAAGAATTTAGAGGATGAAAACTAGACAACATTACTACTGATACTTGAACACACGTGAATGCATGGAAATTTTAAATTTTAAATTACTCGTACCAATCAAAACAAGATGTTTTACGTTGAAATACTAAATTTATTAAGTTCTCTACTTTCATGTTGATTGCAAAGTCTTTTTGCGGCTCTTTTGTAATAATAAATGGTAATAATGATAATAAATTTATATGAATAATTGAAAGAATAGTCTAACGTTAGGCCAATTACATGTTCTATTGTTCGTGTGTACCTTCACATAGCTCATCTAGTGCATATAATCTCTTTATTATGGGCTTGTTTAATTCACCTTATTTTTGCTTATCTGAACTTACTTATCTGTTCTAGTCTAATCTGGTCGTCTAATTTGATCAAACTTTGACCATAAGTTTACGATAATTTATAAGAAAAAAAAGGATTTTTTTTAACATAAATAGACAAACCTTTGGCCGGTTCTCCCATATTGGACAAACTTATAAATTTGCCCATATTGGGCAGAAGTTTACCATTTTTCGCCCATAATGGACTGAGTTTACAGGCAACCGGTTGGGAAGTTAATAAAATAAAATTAAATAAATTAAAAAAAAACTCAAACCCCCAATCCACTGCCAGCCCCTCCTTCCCTGACCCCACTGCCAGCCACCCCTCCTCCCTCCGTCTTACGGCGGCCAGCGCCCAACCCACCCCAACCCCCGGCGCCGGCGACCCCACCCTTGAACCCTAAACCACCTTCTCGAAACCACCCTCCTACACCACAATTCACCCCTCGATGAAGATTAATCTCATTTGTGTTCGAATTTCAATGTTCAAATTCGTGTTTTGGTTGTTTTAAAGTGATTAATATGATTTTTTTTTTTTGGCTTTTTTTTTTCGATCTAAAGTTCATGATTTCATTTTGATTCAAATATCTGATTTTCATTTTAAATTTTCGTTTTACTTCTCAATTATTTTAGATCTGTAGGTTTTTGGTGTGGTTGCTCTGTGGGTGTTTGGTTTTCATGTTATAATCTCTGATTTTATCAATTTTCGATCGATGTTATAGATTTTATTCTAATTCAAATTTCTGAATTTCATTTTATCATTTCGTTTTAATTCTCAATTATTAATTTTAAATCTCAAATTTCTAATTTACACCTTTAGATTTGGTTTGATTTTTATTTTTATCAATTAAATTGGAGTACTAACAATAGCAATAATTATGTTTTTTTTTTTTTTTTTTTTTTTTTTTTTTTTTTTTTTTTTTTTTTTTGCAGTGTTGGCTGTTGTTGTGTTGATTTGTGGGTGGTTGATTCGGGAGCGTGGGTGAGCAGGGGTGTGGGTTGCGGCTGCTGTGATTGCAGTGGTGGTTGTCTGAATTGTTGATGCAGAAATTAGTTAGCGGGTGCAAAGGAGGTGATTGTATTGTTGATTGTTGCGTTGCGGTGCGGTGCTTGGAGGTGTTGCTGGCATTTGGTGGTGATGTCGTGGTTGTTCTTTGTTGTGGGGGGTGTCTGGCAGTGGGGTGAGGGGAGAGGGGCTGGCAGTGGGGTGGTTTTGGTTTTTTTTTTTTTTTTTTTTTTTTTTTTTTTTTTTTTTGTAAAAATTATCAAAATTTTAAAATTAAAAAAAAAAATACTTGACTAATGATTTAATGGCAAGTGGATTTTTATCTGGTATAATAGGTAGGGTGACCTGCTTGATCCATTTTGGGAGAAAAAATGCAAACTTTTGTCCAATATGGGCAGATTTATAGGTTTGTCTAATATGGGAGAACCGGTCAAAGATTTGTCTGTTTATGTTAAAAATCCCGAAAAAAATATATATGAAGTGGGGTCTTGTTAGATTCATAATAATTTTTCCTAAAAAAAATCATAATAATATGTATTTTATTAATATGTAATTTTCATAATTTTTTCATTATGAAATTAATAAACGATAATCTGATCAGAAATTATTTTTTATGATTTGATCTGAACTTATTTTTTTTTAAATAAGTTGAAACAAACAAGGCCTACATTGTAAGTGATAGTATTTCTTTAGCATAACAATTGCACGGATTTGTGACTAAGACTTTTCTTACAAGTTACAAAAATACTTGTCATTTCTTTACTCGAAAGATAAGATGCATGTCACTTTTTTTTTTTTTTTTTAATTTATTTATTTATTTTTTAATCTTTTTAAGAAGGTAAGGTAAATAGAAGTTAGAGCAATCTAGCTTATAATATGCCCCATAATATGGCATGACATGACCAATAATCCCTTGTTATCTAGTGAAGATTAGACCTGGCAATCCTGACTCATTCCCGATGACTCGACCCGAATGACCCGAAAATGACCCAAATCTAATGATCTGAAAATGACCCGAAATCCGAAATTGACCCGACCCTAAATAGAGTTGACCCGATCCTGACCCGACACCCGAATTGACCCGACCCGAAATTGACCCGAACAAACCCGATACTCAAGTTTGACCCGTTTAAATTGTTCATTTTCAACTGTAGCCACACTTATATACCGAATTGATAGTTCTTATTATAACAATAATAAAATATAAAATTATTGATTTGAACTAGATCCACAAATTAAAATTGAACAACCCGAACATGACCCGACCTGATTTTGACCTGACTCGAATATGACCCGAACATGACCCAACCTGACCCATACCCGACCCGAATGTTAACTGACTCGAAATGACCCGACTCAAAATTGACCCGACTCGTACCCGACCCATTTGCCAGGTCTAGTGGAGATAGATGACTGGTAAATCAATGGTAGCTCATTTTACTCAAAAGAAACCACCATGCACAATATTCCAACAATGAAGTTCGCTTTACCATTGAGCTTGCACTTGATTCTCTTACAGAATTACAATTATCACCGATATAATACAATTTGAATAGGTTGTAAATCTCGTAAAGCTTGCACTTGATTCTTTTACAAAACTACACTAGGCTATAATTTTGTAAATTAGTGCATGACAAACTAGAATTGAATATAATCGATCCTAACCTTTCCATATCATATTATCATGAACTTACAAAAGAAGAAACTGAGGTTTGTATTAGTATAAGAGTATGTATATAAAATCTGGGTAATGAAATTTGATTGATTAAACATATTTGAATTAAAAATAAGAACCATATATTATTATATAATGGACAAATGGAGTTTTATATATTGAGTAAATGTAAATAATAATTATAAAAAAGGGGAAATTATCTTGGGTAACACTATGCTTTTTATTTTTCTCAGTGATAAATTACAAAAAAAAACTTATTACCTTTGGTAAACTTGAATTATTTATATTAAGCAAACTATAACATTAATGATAAATTTAAATGAAATATTTAACCATAGTTAGGTGGTTTTTTTTTTTTTTTTTTTTTTTTTTTTTTTTAAAAAAAAGGTCACCACCTTCCCCCACCAATCTGCCACCACTCCCCCGCCCCAACCCACGCCGACGCGCAACCCTTTTCCTCGTCGGCGTGCCGGCCTCCCCCGTTCTCGCCGTGCCTTCTCCACTACCCCCCTTCCCCAAAACCTCGTAGCAAGCATTTTCATGAAAATGAAGAACAATCCAATGATGAAGCCGGAGAACACCGCCATAGCAACAACTAACTCCCACCTCGACCGTCTATTTTTGTCTTCTTACTCGACGGTCCAGCCCCTCCCTCCATTATCTTTGTCCTTCAATTTCCCTTCATCTCCTCCAATTAGGGTTAGAGCTTGACGCCATTTTCACCATTATCACTATTTGAAGGAGAAATTGCAGAAGTTAACCAACAAATCATTCAAAATTGTAGAAGAAATTAAGCCTTTGGAGTGTCAAATTGGGGAGATTATAAGCCAAATTCAGCAGATTTCGTTTGAGGAGAGATTGATTAAGGATTTGAGGGATTGTTTGGGGAAGGGGTGCGGTGGTGGTTCAGAGGGCATCGGAGGGGCCTTTCTCGGCATAACCCCCGAGGCCAGCTTACGTGTGTTTGTTGTGCAGGAAACCCTTGTCCCAGTCATCAGTTGGGCCTAGTCCAGTGTTCAGCCCACCAAAAAGGTCCAAACGAAGGACCTATTGTTCACCCGAAACAATTTGAATTAGAGGTTTCTATATATGTACATATGAAATTCGATATATGCAAGATTTGTTTTGAATTTCTATAGTTGGTGTTTCGGGTGTTTTTAGTCCCTCGGGAGAGTTACAATACGGAGTATGCGCGCCTGACTTCTGTACCTGCAAAACCACGAAACTCCGGTTGGGTGGAGTTCCGCCTCCGACGATCAAGTTAGTATGATTTACGGAAGGGTAATAGTGCGGAAGGTAAATAGGTTTTTCTCTCTGATTCAGAGAGATTCCGCAATTAATATTGCTCGGGTTTCGTGTATAAATTTTTGAATACCCAATAAATGAGGAGGATTTCTTTATTTATAGTGGGGGAGACATGTTCCCTGATTAGGGTTTTGATGCCACGTGGCAGCATCCGATCGGATCCCGTTGGGCCTTTGGTGGGCTGCCACGTGTCACGATTCTACCGGGCCACGTGGCATAGGGTATTTTTACCCTAAACATTTGCCCCTCACAGGTGTCAAGCAATGAGGAGGCGACGATTGAGTTGTTTCCCGCCTCTCTCTCTCCTAGATTCGAAATTCGAAAGGTTTGAGGCAGAAGGTGGCGATTCGCCTTTTGGTCTTTGTTTATAAATTGAGGCGCACACCCTCTC